CTTCCAGCCAGCGGGCAGCACTGAGTTTCATGACTTGGTCACCTTCACGCGCGACGGTGGGGTCCAGTGGGGCGACAGGTACGTGGGTTTCCGGACCCGCACAGCCATCGAGAAGGCCGAATCCAGCAACAATGTGCGCCTGAGCATCAGTAGGGCGAGCGACACGGAGGCCGGCAAGTACCAGTGCGTGGCTGAGCTCTGGAGGAAGAACTACAACAGCAGCTAGACGCGGCTGGCGGACAGGACCTCCAACCTGCTGGAAATCAGGGTCCTGCGGCCAGGTGAGTGCCAAGAGCGTGTGAGAGGGGCTGGGAGTGCATCGCAGGGATGGAGGATGTACCAGAGCTGCAGTGGTCTCTCCGGAGTGGGGATTGCTCTCCTGACTGCGACTGACATCTTGCACTTGTGCATGGCTCAGGTGGAACTGTGCTCGACTCTTCAGCTGTGCATATTTTGGATCTCCCTTATCCACCTCTGGAGAACTAGGTCCTCTCTTTGCTCCTCGTATGCTGTTCCTGGGGTTTTCTTCTGGGAAGTGAGGTGACTGCAGCTTGGTCCAGTTGCTAAGATGTTCTTCTAAGACAGAGGTGGCTTTCAGGTTGCTATTCATCAGAGCAGATTAACCCAAGGAAGAGAGGAGAGGGACAGGGCAAATGGGATCAAAGAAGAGAGACCTGCTTCCACCAAAGCCTGCGTGTACATGTACACCATAGATAAGGTTCTGTAGGTCTTGTCTAGTAACTGGCTGCATCTCTTGCTCTGCTGGATGCATCTTCAAAAGCAACTGGTGATCAAAGAGCCTGACTTTCATGCCCACTGAAATTGAGCCCTTGCCATTTGAATTTCACCAGGGCCACTGGTCCCCACACAGAGTGTGAAACAGCTAGGTAACAGGCACTTGGCTTGGCAGGGAGAGTCAGAAAACCCACAAGGTGCTTGTGCTCCCTGTACAGCCAGTGGAGAGAGTTAGGTGCCTTCTATTCTTTGTCACTGTTACTTGGGTGATACCTTCTAGACATGAAGAGTACAAAGATACCTGGTCAGGGCAACTCTGGGCCATTGCAGTGCTGAGCAGTTTATTACTGTCTCAGCTTTATGGCTGGAGTTGATGTTTGGAGTGAGGCTTTTAGCACCTTCAAGGCTTTTGGCTCCGGTCCTTGCATCATGGTGTAGTCTTCCCTTAGTGTTCCTGTGCAGAGGGACTCCTTCCTAGAGTCTGTCCTCTGTCTTGGGCTTTGTGTTTTTCTCCTCAGTGTCCCTTTTCATACTGTACTCTGCCTTCCCTAAGCCTTAACAAGTCTTCAGAAAAGTCAGGGGATGCTGTGAGCTCCAAGCATCTCATGAGCTCTCCATCATCTTTCTTCCCTCTCTCCTTCCTTTCCCTCATCTCCAGGTTAATCTTCTCCATTTATCTTTATTATCCTGCCTTGTAATACATGTTTTACTGCCTGCAAGGTCAGATTGGTGATCTTCTTCATTTTAGCTTATATCCCTAGGAAACAGCATTGACTGGATAAGGTCCCTGGAGTAATATGCTTCTTCATGGCACATCTCTGTACATATACGTGTGTGTGAGACAGAGAGAGAAAGAGAAATCCTTGATAGCAACTTCCAAAAAATAGCTTCTGTGTCACAGCTCAGGGTGGCGAGCAGGACATTTAAACTGTGCACTGGCAGCCAGTTCTTCTTTACTGGAGCAGTAACCATCAAGTGATGCCTTAGCAGAACAAGTCATCTAGGTCTCCATGGTTTTTACCTCTCCCTATTTCCCTGCTGCTCAACAAACTGCTGCTACACAAATCTTAGCTGTCAGTCCAATGAGCCTTGCATAATGGTTGTGGGTTTATGGCTCACAAGGGGGTATGGAAGAGAAGAGAGGAACTCCTCAGAGCATCTCCAGCACCATTGTTGCTCTCTCTCTGTATTTTATTTCCATGTCCCAGGCAGCCTCTGAGAGCAGATGGTTGATGTTCTACATGAATGCAATGCCAGCAGTCACACCAGTGACTGCTTTGATTCTCTCTGATTTTGCTGGCTGACAAGGACTTTGTCCTGTCGTTGCTGGGTCTTTGGCCAGATAATCTCCAGAGAGGATCCAGGATTATGTGGGAGGCATCTTCCTCAGGCACCTCTGAATGAACATTCTAGAGCTTCCCCAGTCAGCTTTGTGCTGGTGAAGCAAATGCTGGTTTTCAGCTAATACCCAGGGCTTCTTAAAAGGAGTCATTCAGGACCTCTGAACAAGAGAATACCTGAGAGTGCCGTCAGTCTGATTCTGTGTCTCTATAGTTGCCTTAATCTGAGTTAACCTGAGATAACTTCAGACTGCTATTGGGTGTCTTAGTCCTAGATTTCTCCTTTCCTTTGGCACTAGACATGCGTTCCTGCCTTGACCCATATGCTAGTGGGTTTGGGATGAACTATCTCCACTACTGATCCACCAAGGGGCAGCATAAAGAATGCTCGTCTGGAGGACTTTTGGGAAATTGAGCCAGCGTGTGTTTCCAGATTGTAAGTTAATGTTGGGCTTCTAGTTTCCTCTTAAACCCCTGCTCCCTGTTTGTCAGAGTGACCTTTCTATTTGACAGGTTCCAGGTGCAGATGTCGCAATCGATATATGTCAGCCTTTAAAGTGTGCTCAGATGAGAAAGGTAAAATAGTGGCTGCCTGATTGCTTCATTAATCACTTTGCTTTGTGAAATCTCACATCCTCAAGGGACAGGGTGCTGGAGCTTCTCCTAGTGTGTTGGTTTGCCATTTCAGTGCTCAGGCTGTCTCTCCTTGGCACTTTTACAGTGCGTTGTGATTGTAATTGTCATCCCTGCTTAGTGGTAACTGCAGAGGTGGCAGCACTGGTTTTGAATTGCATGTATTAATGTGGCTGCCAAGTAATTTCACCTATGGTTATCTCATGGCCAGGTAATGTTGAAGAAACTTCAGCTTGAAAGACTCCAATCCTTTCCTACTCCAAGGAAGGAACAAGCAGTATTTGAGAAACGAAACACATTGCTCCTGAAAGAGGGAGTGAATAAGGCAGGCAATAGCAGTGTTAACCCAGCTCTGAATACAAGGTGTGTAGGTGGGAAGACACAAGTGTCCTGTGTGGCACCTGGAGACAGATTTGGCCTTTAGAGTGTGATGTTCCTGGCCCGTTGTGCATGAAGCCACTATAAAGACTAGCAGTGTGAAAAAAAAGCCCTATAACGAGTGCTAGCTGTGTGTGCGAGAGCTTATAGAGAATTTAGGTGTCACGAGGGCATGGTGTTCATTGCTTGCTGGTGTGTGAAAACTCACCAGCAGCAGTAGTGTCTGAAGGTCCCTTTCATGGCCTTGCTCCTCGATGTCACGTGAGCCTGCGCACCTTGGGTTGCAAAGTAGAGAGAGGGTGGCACACAGGTAGGGGCACGCAGCCCCAGGTAGCTCGTGCTTTGCAGGGCGAGAGACCTGCACTGCTGTAGGGTGAGCTCTGGGTTTTAAATTCTGTAGGCTGGGGCAGGAATCTAGGCTGGTGTTGGGGTCTGTCAGGCAGGATTGTGGACCAGACTGGCTAGATCACCTGTGGCTGTTTCATGTGTTTGCTACACAGTATTCTTCTTACTTCCTTCTCCCGAACTGCCTGTTACTGCTTTTTGGTAGGATCATGTTGCAGCAGAGGCGGAGAAACAATAAAAGTACGGCTCAGTTCATGCCAGCTGCTTCTCCAAAGCCAAAGCTGGCAGGAGACCACACAGAGGAGCGTGGGCTGAGCTTGGAGTGAGCCCGGAGTGCAGGGGTGGAGATTTCTTCCCACTCACATCCATGTGTTTGGGGCTCCCCTTTCACTGCAGTATCATCTGTCCTGCCTCTGAAACTCCAGTTCTTTGATCCCTGAAAGATGGGGCTTGCCCCGAGGGCTCACCAACCCTTTTCCCTGAGGTTTCACCACCCCTTTCCATTCTAGAGATGTTGCCTTGCCCTTCATGCACTTGCCCCTTTCCGGATGGAGAAGAGCATCATCCACATGAGCTTTACTGGGCTGATCTGTAAGAGATCAGTCAGGACAGATGTGTCCTGTCTTTGGAGGGGCATTTGCTGGTCTCTCAGGTTTTAGGGGGGGCAGACATGCAGGTGGTTCCTTTTGAATCCAGGTGACCTATTGATGTGAGGATGCCAATTAGGCAATACCCACGTGCAGCGTCGGGGGGGAATGGTGCACAGGCTTCAGGTCCTGCCCGAGGGAGGAAGGTGGTAGATAGAAGCACGGGGGTCAAGAGGAGACCCAAGGGCTGCCAGGCAGGCTCTGTTCCTCACTCCTTTTTGGCTCATGCTTCTCCCTGCCAGGTTTTCAGGGATGGAGCAGCTGAGACAGGAGGTGCTGTCTGGGAGCAGTGTGTGTCTGTGCAGTCTGCAGGACTCAGACAAGGGCAGCAGACAGTCTCTGGCGGCACTGTGCATGAGGACTCCGCTGCGATCTGGGCAGGCTAGGACGTCTGGATAGGACTCTTGGCAAGGAGGCATGAGCAGATTTGTGGTGGTGTATTAAATTGCTATTGTCCTTGTGTGTGTTACTGTGCTTATCTTTCCCCTGCAGCACAAGCCAAGGGGGTGATTTGGCAGAGCTTTGAGAAGGCCTGGGGTCTGAGCGCTGGGAAGTCTTTCTGGCAACAGCGGAATAAAAAAGCAGGGCTTCCACAAAAGCAGGAGATTTTGGCAAATGCCCCGCCAGCATCCTCTCACCCCTTTCATGTTCAGGCATAGACCTACCCATCCCGACCTGAGAGCACCTACCTCCCCGTGCCTCTGTACTCTTCCTACCTCTGTCCTTGCGTCGTGCCTTGGCCAGTTCTTTCATGTCTAGTCCTGGAGCGGGCACACAGGGAGAAGCTGCAATCGCTTCTATAAATCTACCCTCTCACTGCCAGGTTTTTGACAGTAATGAATATGGGAGGAGGAATGAGGAGGGGTGGTGGGGGATAATAACTGAGCAGACACCAGGGGTGGTGGGCTCCTCACTGCTTTTTTTGCAATCTGGGCTATGGCAGATTGATTGACCTGGGAGCCGTCGAGCAAACAAGGCAGTCAGGCTCTTCATTGGAGCATTAATTAGCTTCCAGGGACTCTCCAGGGGCTGCATTGTAAAGTTTGGTTTATTAGGAGCTGTCAAGTTGAAGACATTGTGGAGGGGGAGGGTGGGGGATCCTCAAGCTGGCCTTGAAGAAGCTGAGGGAGGCTTGTACCCGAACCTTACTTTGAGAGCAGGGTGAGCCAGAGCTGTGCTTCCCCTGAAACTCTGCACGTGGAT